ACAACCTCCACAACACTTGTTCAATATGAATCCCTAAGTTCATGATGAAACAATTAACACATTTTGTTAAATCAACTGTCGTTTACACAGTTACTGAGTCTGAGTTTGTTTAATAAAGTTCTGAAGTTCTGAATGGCAACTGTAACGACTCTGTGCATTGTGCATTGTTTTAAGAACATTAATTTAATAATATTGTTTTATTTTGATGATAAATATTAGTTTGAACCATCTAATAAATATTCACTTACAATGCTTTATATAATCAAATACATTCTTATTTTGTTGTCCATTACTCAGGAATTATTTAAAAAAAATATACTGAAAATGCATTCTTGGTAATAGGTCAATAAAGTTAATAATATTCACAACATTTTATATATGAAATCAGAATATTTGCTTTGTAGTAAAATTCAACTTGAATTTTCTCAAATTCTATTTAATAATAGTAAATATTGTACATCACGCAAGTTAATTAAATAAAACCTGGATCACTTGTCAACCAGCATTAGCAACACAATTATATGGATATGTACATGTGAAGATTGGTTGGTTGTAGGTTATAAAAAATCCCAGCGACAAATATTTCATGCAAATTTAGGACGAGACACTCAGCCCGCTATTAACAATACTTAAACATACAATATGTATAGGCCCTGTAATAGGCCACCCAGCACAACTAAACCAATGCACCACATTTTAGGGTTTAACAGTAAGACGATGAACAGTGGTAGATCCAGCCATTTTTAAAAAGGGGTTCCCGACAGGAATAAAGGGCGGAGGGGGGGGGTTCCAAATATAGGTCCCTATTCGAATGCATTGATTGTCAAAAAAGGGGGGAGGGTTCCAACCCCCCAAAACAACTACCCCCCCCCCCCCCCCCCCCCGTGGATGAAGATCAAGAGTAACCTTGTCCATTCCCTTGTCACCCTTGGAGTGATGTATGTGAAGTAAGTGAGGATTAAATGACATATATAAACATGATAAAGGCGAGAGGGAATGGTGTCATACATGAATTACAATGATGCATAAACTTTTTACAAGCCAAAATCCTAATTTTGCTTTGAAACATGCTTGTATGCATGAGTGCGGTGTTATGTAGAACGTCGGTTCATACCTATAGGAACATGAGGAAGAACAAATGACGAAATGTGCACATTTTTCCTTCAAAATCTTCGATCCATGATTATTCTGATAGACATGCTTTAAAATATTGTTCATTTCTACTCACCGATTGCAATTTCCAGCTCAGCTTATATTGTACTGTATTTTACCTTTATACGATTTTGTGTAAATTATAGTTTGCCGCCCGGCCGGTCCCCTGCAGGCACACTTTGTTGAATCAACGTTGAATCTTTGTTGATTTTAGGTTATACGTTGATCAACAAATATTCAACATTGATTCAACCTTGACAATTCAACGTTGAAATTAGTACATTGTTTCAAAGTTGAATTAACATTGTGTTGAAATACCAACAATGAATCAACGTTGGCTAAACAATATATAAAACCCAGATGTGGATACCAGAATTGTCAAAAAAGAAGTATTGGGGACATCACAATTCTTTTTAAATTGACAACGATATTCACATAAAAAAGAATATTCAGTAGATTTATCCCTCATTGTCGTGGTGATTATAGAGTTATATATAAAACACTAAATCGCAGTGTATATATCAGCATAAACTAATCATGAACTGTGCACCCCAAATAATAGAAATTCCCAAATTTCAACCCACCCTAATACATAATAATAGAACCAACTTGCATACAGGATCATACAGTAAATATAAATATTTGTGAATAACCCCTTCCCCTATAAATATGCCCCCCTTTTTCCTTGGCTGCTGATGTCATATATCTTGTTAACATTCCTTTTTTTCTTTTCTATTCTTGTTATCAATATAAAGAGAAAAACGTATACATCAGTACAAACACAATGATTGACAACTTGTAACTAATATAAACAACCGATAGATCTATTGGAATAGTGATTTAAATTTTCGCGGCATTTTTAACATTTCTATTTTAAGACAAATTCAGATATGCGCATGCGCAGTTGCTTCTGTTGCCAAAGTTTGAATATCCGCTTTAGAGACCACAAGGTGGTTCTACAGAGTTTTTATCAGTATCTTTCCTGTATACAGCTTTTATATTTTTATCGTAAGTATATATAAATTGTTGTGATTACAGTAAATACAGTATCGTATTTTAGAAATGTAAGCATATCATGTTGTTATGAAAACTGTACTGAAAAGTTGAAAACTTACGAGGAAAACGGGGATGTGTAGCATGTTACCATTCCTAATTTACCTTGTAACGTCTCATGAATTTTTATCATTGCATTTGACTATTTGAATTCATCATATGATTGAATCAAAAGTAAAAAGAAATTTTATCGTTATTTATCTGTTCAATTCAGTTACACGAAATCTCAAAAAAAGGGGGGCTTGTTTACAAAATCGGGATGGAAAGGTCAGAAGCTATATGGCTCACCAAGTTGGACCTTTAATAGTTTACTGTCAAAATTGAAGTAGTGTTTTGACAAGGTAATAAAAGATGAAGAGTTATTTGCGTGCAACGTTTTTGATCTTTTTATTTCAAGTGTTTTTCGTGTTTTGACGTTTTATTTCTCGTTTTCTAGTATTTGGTTCGACATGCAATATTTGTATTTCCATGTTTCGTGTTGGTACTCTTAATTTCACGTGCTTGTCCCACATTTGATAAAAAAGTAAACCGGGACTAAATTCCAAGTCAGTCTGGAGATTGTTTTAAATTATGTGTTCCAAGGATATTAATTGCTATTTAGTTATGAATAATTTTTTTTTCAAATTGGTTGCAACTAGCGGATGCGAAAAGGTGACCGCAGGGTCTTCGTGTCCATTATTATGACTGTGTGATCTCCAAGAACGACTGAGTAATAACTTCTAGTACTTTTTTCCTTAATATTTAAGATTTTGTTTCTCGTGCTTCGTTTATCCCAATTTTTATTTTCCGTGCAGCGCTTTTGAGATTTATATTTCACGTGTTTCTGTGTTAAGAACTCCCTTTTACCACACTAATATATGTCAATTAGACAGATATCCATGCAGCAGCACAAGTAATACAAAAAGACATAAGTGGATACACCTTCAATTTGTTCAAATTAAAATGTAGTATTTAGGATTTTCTTGCAGATTATACCTTCTGGTCTATATAAAAGGAAATGTAGTTGAGACTTTGATGGAAGTTTAACTTTCATTTAGTTTTCACGAGTTCTTATACTTTAAATATCATCATTATGAAGTTATTAATAGTTAAATGTGTTGAACAGAATTAAACTTGACAATGTTATAACTTTTGATTTTGTAGATGTCATCATGGAATCACGAACCAAGAAGTGTCTGACAAAACAACAAACTTTCTAAAATGGGCTCCAAAAAGACAGGGTGGGAGATGAAAGAAGTTAAAGTTTTCACTATTAATAAATAAATTTATTTTAATTTTATCGTATTAATATTTCTCTATTATCAGTGGTTGGACATTAGAATACATGTTTTATATTTTGATCACTCAGATATTTAAAGTAGACATTGGGCAAAAAATATGTGCATTAAGTTGTTTGCTTTCAAAAATTAGGATAGGTCAATATTTGAAATATTTTTTAATTTTTTTTGCTGATTTTTTTCAATATTTCTCTTGGATGATAATTTGTGTTTTTATATGCATATTGTTATATGTTAAAAAAATCTTGGTTCGTAGGAAAGCCCAAAGCACACATATTTGTTATTCAGTTGATTGGTTGTTGACATCATCATGGTCAAGCCATACTCTCATCACAAGAATGTGGTCACTCAGTTTTATTGTTGAAAATTACTGATCTTCTACGAGTAATTGACAGTCAATGGCATCTATTCAAAGTTTTGTGCACCCAACCACTTTTTATTGTTACCTATTGTTAACAAGACAACTATCAACAAAAGAACATTATTTATATATCTTTGGGTCACCATACAGTCTTTAATAATGAGCAAAAGCCCACACATATTTCAAATATGACCAGACAATGATTTTATTTACAGTTCATCAATTTTTTTCTGAGATTATTTTTTATACTTTGGTCTGATGGAGCAGTTATTGGATAAAATTTCCTGGGGCAAAATGTTACTATGGCATTTAGCATGTTGAGTGCCTTCAGAAGACACTACCTTGAATATTGCTACAGTATAAAATTATGGAATGCAACACACAGAAAATACAGAATGAATGAAACTTAAGTTTTAGGTGGAAACACAGTTGAACACAACCACTAACCAATTTTGATTACGTGATGAATATGGTATTCACCCTGAATTCAATCTGAATTCAAATTAAGTTATTGGTTGAAACAATGTTGAAGCAATCATTATTCAATAGTGATTCAAAGTTGAACATCAACGTTGATTCAACGTAGGATTTCAACGTTGATACAAATTTTCAAAATGTAATAATAATTGTACATTGATTCAACATAGAAAATAAACATTGATTCAATGTTTAATCAATGTTGTGTGCCTGCTGGGTCCAGTCTGCCGACAAGAATGCAACCAAAAAACAAAGATAGTTCACGGTGAAGAATTGTTGTCCGTTTTTAATAAAACTTGACTGGTTTGATTAATTGTCATCGGAAAATGTCCCTCGTGGATAGTAATTCAGATTAAACCAGTTTTATTATGCTGTATAATATAGGTAACTTAGTCATATTCTGTAAATTTACTTCAGGTACACCGACGTAACATTTTCACTGCCGCATAATTTATCAATACTTTTTCAAATATAAATTTGAATTAATTCATTAGCATCTTCTTCAATAATATTTAAACTCTATTTTTAAATGAAGGCTTCTGGTATGTAAAACAAGTTACGAACGACTCTGAATAGACAAAATTAAAAATAAAGAAAACTTAAGGAAAGTCAAACGCACAAGTAAAAAATGAACGGACAATACCATGACAATAAACGGAAAACGATAAAGACAAACAACGATCGCAAAATAAATAAATAATAATAATAAAAAAAAAAAAACACACAACAACAACCGCACAATAGATAATAATATAAATTATGGGTAATATCAAAACTATATCAAATCTTGAAAGGGTGCTCGAGAGGGTGAAACGTGAAATGAAATTAACACTGAGCTGCAACCGTGACGCTAAAATATTTGTATTAAACATTTATCAACTGTAACAACCTATGAAATGTTTGTTTTAAACATTGAACGACTGTAGCAACCTTTTAAAATTTGTAATTAACATTTTATGACTGTAACAACCTTTAAAAAGTTGTAACAAACATTTTACAACTGTCCCAACTCTAAAAACGTTGTAACAAACATTTTTTGACTGCATCAATGTCTGAAAAGTTGACACAAACAATTTTCAACTGTCCCAACTATTAAAAGGTTGGGACAAATATTATACAACTGCCACAACTTTTGGAAAGACTGTAATAAATAGTATTTGACTGTGACAACGCCGTAAACCACTGCAACAGTCCTAAAATGACTCTTGATATCATTTTATGATTTTCACAACCCATAAAAGTGTTGGGACAGACATAAATTAACTGTTACAACGACATGAGCCAACTGTCACAACCCTAACAGTTGTTATCAGTTGCTTTGACAGTCATCTTCAGGCCTCCACAGACTAAGACAGTCGTACAACGACTGTTACTGGTATGGACAGTTGTTTTTTCATCCAGTAGTGCTTACGTTTTGACTTAAAATTTTCGTTTTTCCTATTTCTGCAGTTTTACTTATTGAATACACTGTGAAGCCTCATTGTAACATTGACACGCAGTATCTGTATCCCCATTTAACTGATAGCACATACCAAGAATAGTTAATGATAGCGATTGTTGATCAGCTGGAATAAAAAAACTTTCTTCTACAGTTAAATGAAAATCCCGTAAGGCCTGCTGTCTTTTAAACACATCTCCGAGATGAAAATAAGATAGAAATTTAAGACAATAAGACAAAACAACAATAGGTATTTGGATGGTATCTTCAAAACCCAGTCTTAACTCATCCGGGATTAAGGAAGAGTGTCGTAAGAATCTTACACCAGATACGGTCGCCAATTGTATCCTTTTGTTTAAAGATGTGACTGTTTCATATATATTTTGAGCATAAGTGTTCATAAGGTCTTTATCATAGAATAATGAACCTAAATGCAACTTTTCAGGCGTACACTTTGATAGAACATGATCTGTTATTTGAATTGTTACATTGTACTGTCCAATAACGTAATAAAACGATGCGTAAAGCAACCAACCATTCACAGCATTTGTCTGTAGACTGTCTTTTAAATGTTTGTGATACCGACTTCGTATATTTTCAACATTCCGTATATTAACTGGAGGTGGAAGTAGTTGTGTTATATGCTGACTGACTGCAGAAATCCACCATTTGCACACATCACGTATATATGAAGAGGATTCTGATAAAATGAGAGATTTAAGAACAAATATTCCTCGGTATCCGTCTTTTATAGTTTGGGGAATTTTATCGTGACAAAAATACTTATACACGAAATAATCTAATTTAATGGCGTTATATTTCCTTTTAGATGTAAGGCAAGTTAAACTATCACCTTCCTGAAACAAACCAGAAATCAGTCCGGTAGTTCCACTATATATAACACTGTCAAGCACGCCAAGCAATATCTTATTATTTCTATTATTGACCTTTCCTAGAAACATATTGTGCTCAGGTATAAAGTAGTTGGGACAGAAGCAGATGTTCACATACGATCTTAATTTACCCAAACACGACCAAAAACAGAACAAAAGGTTGGCTATTTGAAAGGTTTCGATTGACACCTCCTCTGAAAACCAAAAGATCGCTGTCTTTAAGAAGTAAGAACAGAGCAAATCTTTCACATCATGGTTTTTGTTTATGATGTGTTTCAATACTATTTTGAGAAGTCCGTAACATAGTAACTGCGTATAGTTAAAAGAATGTAAAAGTTGTTTTTCAGCAACAGAAAAAGAAATTCTCCATAGCAATTGACTGTTCGTTATTTGTTTAGGTCCAATAGGTACCAATAAACATCCATAACTTTTAATGTTATCAATGACAACACTTGGTGGCCAATGCTGTCTATGCCGGTACACCCATTGCATTGCATTGTTTGGGAATGATTTACAACGGAAACAAACTGCAAAATCTATTGTTTGATTTCTATTTGATAAACATGGACCATGTAACAGAAACGTATCAAGTCTGTGATGAAGATTTTTGATAAAAAGTTCGGATGCTAAATATAAGCCTTCCCTGGTTTCTAAGAGAGAATCTCTTATACATGTTTTAACAGGATTAGAGTCCTCAAAGCCTCCAGCCAATAACCTCAGTCGTGTAAACCCAGGATGAAAGGGGTCTATCTCCATTAACAGTGTTGTAATGTCTTTTATATTATGTGTATCACTAACTGTTTCTACCATTGGTATAACGTACATAATATCAATATCACTTCCAGGTAAATCCATTCCTTCAGATAAACTTCCGCTTACAAAACGTATAAAAGAAGGACGAATAATATTTATTATTACATCTTCAATTAGAAATAATCGTTGTCTGTAACGTATGTCGGGTTCTTTGCCAACTATGTGTACCAGCTGACTATATAAATATTCTGCATGAAAATCATTTCCTGGCCGAGACATATAACCTGAAAGATGAAAATAAACATGTGCATGCACATTTTTCACATTTAGATAAATCTGCCTTGAATCCAATTTGTGACGAACACATAATATGTAGAAACTTAAAATCGTGCGTTGAGCAATGAAAAGCTTGCCCCAATTCAGATTCAATCATAAAACACTGATGATCGAATGTAAATTTGCGACTAGAGTGTGCAGTCTAGTATTATTGGCAACTATTAAGTTCGGAAATAGAATTTAATCAAGACTATGACAGTACACAAGTGAGAGGTTTAGCTAGCTATAAAACCAAGTTTAATCCACCATTTTCAACATCAGAAAATGCCTGTACCAAGTCAGAAATATGGCAGTAGTTTTCCATTCGTTTGATGTGTTTGCGCTTTTGATTTTGCCATTTGATTACGGACTTTCCGTTTTGAATTTTCTTCGGAGTTCGTTTTTTTTTTTTGTTATTTTACTTTTTGTTTAGAACCGTGTGTAACGTGGATGTTTGTCGTAGACTCTTATACTGAAATGACAGCTGTAGCCCTATTAGCTGGAGGTTTCTTTAATCTTTAGTTCAGGAGGATATATTGATGAGACAGAATTTTAGATTTTGGATTGTTTATGAAGAGAACATCAGCATCATATCTTAATGAGAAATATAGTAATCTATCTTCTTTGATATTTTCTTGCTTTTTACAAGTGTTTTAAGGAACTCGGATTAAAAATTAAAAAGTTCGGCAACGGTTCCCGAAGGTATGCCGACATCCTGTTAAAAAAGACTACATCTAATGTTTACAAATAAGTTGCCAATGAGACACTTCAACATATAGATCCTTTGTTCATTGGTGTAGCATGTTTTATGCTCCAGTTCATTTAAAATAATATTTTCTTAATTGTACCCCAAAACAATACATTAGTAGCATATGGAATTATTTTATGAAAAAAGCATTGTAGATTATTACTTTTAGACAGTTTAATCATATTTGTATGCGGTATGGTTGAAAACAGGTTTTCTCATAGAAAGAAGGACCATGATTTTAAATTTAACAGAAAAGATTTATTTTTTTGAAGTTTTCGAGAACCTACATATAGTTCATAACACTACGCAATTTAACAGTATCACGATATTTCTACATGTAATCCCTCTTTTACTGCGGACAATCTTATGGTCAATCTAACATACAATTCCTCAATAGAGCATGCAGATAACCTGGCAATATACCGGTGTTTCAAGGAGATTTGTGAAGTTTAAAATATACAATACAAACATACGATTTGTTGCTCAAAGGAAGATACATTGAGAAGAATCAATGTTATGGGTCGATTTGATTTATGTGATGATCTCTAAATTGATGACCGAGTTATATCATCTTCCGGGGATGTTCATGTTGAGTTATATTTAGATCATTGATAATAATATTCTCAGTGCGTTGTAATTATATGGCGGGTTGATTCTGAAATGTCATCCAACTTATGCACTTATTTCGATATTACAAATCAAGAACGTACTGATATATAAAAGACAGTCAATGACTAGTATTCTAGCAATGTACAGGCGTAATGACATGCGGTGGGATTTAACACATTTTAATCTGTCAAGCATCCCCTTTTCAATCATATCTAGTCAAATAAAAATTAAGAATTATTCATTCTCAATAGAATCATTAAAGTAACTTTATAAATAATAGTATAAAAATAACAAAACCAAACCTGAAGCAAAGGGAAAATATAAAATTTCGTATCAAAGAACTCACAGTTACCTAACTCCAGCCGATATTATATATGTGTGTAATGTCTAATGTTTTGGTTTAGTAAGATAAGATTGATGATCTTCAAAGCAGACGTCATTAAACAACATTCATCAACAGAACAAGAAAATATAAAACGGTCTAATTGAATATAACACTTTATAAAGTATGTGTGTCCTAAGCGCTCTTCTGGATTCACATTCATCATGTGATGTACAATAACGTATTCGTGAAATATCAGAAACACTACTGCACGGAATTCCAATGTGGAAACACATGTGTTATCCTTCAGACTATAAAGCAAGATTTAGTGTCTATTAATGAAAACCCATAGATATAAAGTATAGTTTTAAAGCTATTTTGCTCTACATATTTACAGGTGAAAAATGGGTTTTAAATTATTTGATATTTAAAAGTCAAAACTTTCTGCTACGTTTGATCTCCCTATTTGCGATGTAAGGCGACAAGTGGCTATGAATAAGCTGCGCAATCAGGTTATTGTCAATTGTCTTTTTAATGCAGTTTATTTGAACGTTTTACACACTGCTATTACTTATTTGTGCTATTGTTAATTTGAGAATGGAAATGGGGAATATGTCAAAGAGACAACAACCCGACCAAAGAGCAGACTACAGCAGCGAGAAAAGAGAAAATCCCGCACCCGGAGGTGGTCCTCAGCTGGCCCCTAATTCAAAGTGTGTACTAGTTCAGTGAAAATGGACGTCACACTTAACTCCAAAACATATAATTGAACTAAAATTAAAAAACATACAGGACTAACAAAGGCCAGAGGCTCCTGACTTGAGACAGGCGCAAAAATGCGGCGGGGTTAAACATGTTTTGTGTGATCTCAACCCTCCCCTATACTTCTAGCCAACGTAGAATAAAGAAACACATAGCAAAACGCACAGTAAAACTCAGTTTAAAAGTAGTCCGAGTCCGATGTCAGAAAAGGTAACAAAAGAAACTAAGCAAAATGACAATGATACATAAATCAACAAAGGACTACAAGCAATTACTGACATGCCAGCTCCAGACCTCAATTACACTGATTGAAAGATTATGTCTTCATCATATGCAAATCAAGTACAATCCCTCCCGTTAGGGGTTTAGTATCATACCATTATAAAATATATGAGAAGATCATAACCCGTATCATGCCAACAACTGGTTTTATAATAAATGTGTTTATTTCCGATGCAAAGACCCTAAGAGTGAATCATTATTAATACCAAAATATGCAATCCTTAATGACCTGACAACAGTATCGTAACTATATCCTTTCCGAATAAGTCTGTCTAAAGGTTTGATTCTTACCTTCACCATGTTCTGTACAATGTTCTAAATATTCGAGGTATTTATTTGAAGATTTAACAGGATATCGCAAATTGAGTATCCGCTGTGAATTTTGTTTCCTTCTTTCCAAACAAGCTATATATTTCTGTTCGAATTGGTGAATAGTGAGACCAAATACGTCATTTGAGATACTTATTCGACCGTCAAAATGTTGTTGGAGAATGGGAGTGTGTCGTCGTCGTCCGCGGTAGGGAAAGCGTTTAACGCCGTATTTTTCCCAAAACGTTATTTTTCTCATTCCATACAAATGTTCATTGTCATCTTCACTTTGATTACTTGGTCTATTGTTATTGGTATTCATAATGACAAGCCTGCAATATAAGAGATTAACTGGAGCAATATATTTTTGATTTAGAATTAACAATTTTTTGAATGAACCTAGTTTAACAATTGAATACAGCCGGATGCATCTGTCACCGACAACAGTTTGATTGCGAGTGTCTTTATGGTGCGTTTTACCAGTAAAAAGAGGGACGAAAGATACCAGAGGGACAGTCAACCTCATAGACTGAAAACAAACTGACAACGCCATGGCCAAAAATAAAAAGACAAACAGACAAATAATAGTACAGATGACACAACAGAGAAAACTAAAGACTAAGCAACACGAACCCCACCAAACACTGGGGGTGATCTCAGATGGTGATCTCCGGAAGGGTAAGCAGATCCTCCTCCACATGTGTCACCCGTCGTGTTGCTTATGTTATTAAAAATCCTGTAAATAGTCTAATTCGGTAGATCACATTCGTGAAAAGGGAAGGGTATTAAAGTTACGACATAAAGAACATATCCGATATCATCTGTGAAACGGTTATTCCATAACGGTCAACCAACTCGTGATGGCGTCTGTAAAATTTACGAAGGGATGATTTCAACTTCACCATTTGGAACTCTTGGTTTAATAGCTTCCTTGTGAGCAGCACTCCTCTATCAAGGAAATCATGATAGGAAATACAAGCCCGGGAATATCGTATCAATTGGGAGATATATACTCCGTTTGTAGGCGCTGCTGGAATGTTGCTACATAGAAATGGAAAGTTCACAATTGGGAAGCTGAAATCATCTCTTTTGTCGTAAAGTTTTGTTTTCAACCCTCATTGTCAATTTCTAGATGTAAGTCAAGATATGAGGCAGACTTAACTGTATCTGTAGTATCCTTTATCTCTAGTTCGATTGGATAGATTCGTTCAACATAGTCACCAAATTTTGTATTATTTAGTGAGAGAACATCATCTATATAGCGGAACGCAAAGTTAAAGGATATTGCTAACTTCTTATTTTTCTTCCCAAGAAGTTCCTGTATGAAGTCATACGTCTGTTGGCTTGCAAACTTTAATTTTTACTTTCTTTGTCTAAGTCTGGTATCATTGGTGAGGTTTTACAAACACTGTCACTGTAACCGTTTCACAGATGATATCGGATATGTTCCTTATGTCGTAACTACAATACCCTTCCCTTTTCACGAATGTGACTTACCGAATTAGACTATTTACCGGATTTGTAATAACATAAGCAACACGACGGTTGCAACATGTGGAGCAGGATCTGCTTACCCTTCCGGAGCACCTGAGATCACCCCTAGTTTTTGGTGGGGTTCGTGTTGCTTAGTCTTTAGTTTTCTATGTTGTGTCATCTGTACTATTATTATTTCTGTTTGTCTTTTTATTTTTGGCCATGGCGTTGTCAGTTTGTTTTCGATCTATGAGTTTGACTGTCCCTCTGGTAACTTTCGTCCCTCTCTCTTCTAATGAACGTTTCTGCCAGCCCAGTAGTCTGCACTTTGTGTTGACATGAAATATCATTTATATGGTCATTTTTTCCATACATATATTGTGTTTATAAAATGTTGAATAATCTTTTTTTTTTTACCAAAACATGTTGTAATAGGTTCAAATCGCAGTAATATCGGTCAACTCTACTGTGATTTATACAAGACTACATTAAATGACATCTTTTTCAAATTTTAAAGAAAAACACCAGATAAAACTATAAAAACTATCAACGGACTCCAAAAACATGCACATTCCTGTAATTGTTTTTGAATATTAACACAGTTTTATATTTAAAGTTCTTATTTAAACATGGTTTGACATCTTCAACTAGTTGTTCATGCGGTATATAGTATTTGAATCAAGTTAGGAAACAAAAAAAAAAAAACAAATGATTTTGTCTTACAGGCTTATCTTTGACGGTAAGACCAATATCAGCACATAATATTTCATTTTCAATGATGTTGTCTTCTCATTTTATCAATATTGACAAAGTTTAATATAAAAGAAGAGACGTAATAAAAGTGAAATGAAAGCCAATGAGAAAACTAATCACAAGCGACCAAAGTACGGGGATGTTAGCGACAAAAAAGAGTCGGAAGATAAAAATAAATATTCAAAACTCATATGTCGAGAGAAACTGACAACGCCATGGCAGAAAACAAAGACGATAAATTTCACAAAACACTAAATAAATACAAACCAAAACACCTCACCCTTACCACTTTGAACCGTTGACTCAATAGTTTCGTTGTTAGCAGCAAACCCCTATCAAGGATATTTTGATAGGAAACGCAAACTGAGAAATATCGTATTAACTGCGAGACATATACTTTTTAATTCTAAAATATAATTCTGTAATTCAATCGACTTTGACTGAGAATGAATTCGCATTGAAGAAGACACATGCATAGCAGGATACGACTATACTGTCGACAAACCCCGGTCTTGGTCCTTTTGGAGTTCATGCAATTTCCTTGATTTTTGATCGTTACTTTGATTTGCCGTCTTAATTGATTAATGCGGTTTGACATCGATACATTATTGTCGTCTTTTTTTAAAGGAATACATTGTAAGCTTGGAGTATGCCATTCATATATATATGATTTAATTCAAGAATTGAGTTACTTAACAATATATCGTTCTTTCGTGGTGAGACAACAAATATTTGTCAACTCTGATGAGAGCAGTTTATATGTAATTGAAAAATATTTAGACTGTAAAAATCTGTTATTGGAAATGTCAAGTTAAATTTTATTTCTTATAATGCTCATACCCCCCTAAAGTCAAATATTGTGGCCCGAACTTATATGCCAAATAATTTTAAATTTAAGAATCCCGAGCCCTACTGGAAACCGATCTTAAGGAGGTTGAGAAACACTTGTTCCATATGCATGATGTGTAACACCCGTCGTGTTGCTCACGGTTATTACATATTGAGTAATAAATCTAATTCATGATTTCACAATCGAGAAAAAGTGGACAGATTTGATTATAGTTACGACAATTAGAACATATTTGTGATCATCTGTGACACAGTTATTCCACAACGTTTAACAAACTACTGATGGCAATCGTAAAATTTTGAAAGGAATAACTCACATTTCAATAGCTTAATTGTAAGCAAACAAGTGACATAGACCTTAGGAATCATTTGTCATGAACTAACGATACATAAGTTATTTTACAAATGGTGAAAACTGGAATTAAGTTTCAGATAATCAGATGAGAATTGTTTTTGTAAGGGTATCTATTGGAACGATAATCCGTTTATCACGCAAAGTTTGCCACCTTATCAACATTAATTGCAAATTGATGTCCATGATTATTAAACCCTTTCAGTGTAATAGTTCGTCAATAACCCATAAGAAAGAGATTTGTATATTCACGTTTACTACTGCTTTTCCATCGACTCGTCTTCTTAACACACAGCGGACATTAACTACTGTATACTTTGAGTGATTCACTTCAAACTTTACAAAATAGTAATCTGCATCAGGCCGTTGATTTTCTCGTTTGGATTATTTTACATTTTGTCAGGTATGGGCCTTTTGTGACTTAGACTTTAAGGAATGCGTTAATCTAATTGTCAAAGGCCATCCGGTGACCTATACCCGATGGTTGCACAACTTACTAGTACTTAGTTTTTCTCATGTTCCAATTTATATTTATAGGTACCCTCGATCACTAATATTGTGTCCTTTATAAAAATTTGCGATACGTTTGAATGTTGTTTTATCTGTTCGTAATGTTCGCACATATTTATATTATGGTACGTTGTCCACTTTTGTGTGTGGGTTGTATAAAGCATTAGCTAGTCTTATCTTCTCAACGCGGAGTCATCTGAAAATTTACTTGTCACTGGAAATAAATATTTTTTTCAAATAGTTCATAATGTTTTTCACAAAGATTGATGTAAACGTGTGGAAAATCAGATTTTTTGTTCCAAGCTAGACCATTGTCCTAGGTACTTGTTTGATTTACCAAGTATTTTGCAAGAACAAGATTTGAATGTTAGTTTCAATAAATTTTCGAGGGGAATTCGAACAATTTGTCACATATGCAGTAATGGCTGTCACCATCAACATTAAATTTCGATCTCTTGTAAGGGAAACTGCAATCATCAATCCCTTTAAAATTGTAATTACATTGTTGCTTTAGATGAACTTCTGTATTGTTTCTCGTTATAGAAAGGAAGCAACAGTTGTTGTGCGGACAAAAACTTACATCGTTCGTGCTAACTTTTGAATACAAATTTGCTAAAATTATCAGATATGATTAAAATGGAATATTAAAGAGATTTTCAATGAAACTATGTGCAATCAATACTACCATGTGTGCAAGGGATCAGCCTACTATTCTTGTTTCTTATGGCTACTCAAAAATAGATATAAAAATATCTTACCCTAATCTCCTTAATTATATTAACACATTTTAACAATCAGCTATAATGACAATTTACTTATACTATACGCAAGATTTAATTTGGATAAATTGATATACGTCATAATACTTTGAGCTTTGAGCTTTACAATTCAAAACAATAGTTGTATTATGTTTTTGTTATAGCAATACGATAGTGTGTTTAACAATGGTTAAATCGCACTTTCTATAACCCTTTACACTGACATAGATTTAAAAAAAGAAGGAAATACGTTGTTAAAGACAATATGAGTTCTCAGTTCCAATAACTGCTCTATATGTGCCACGATATTCCCCAATATGTGGAAACACTAATTTATAATTTTCTTCTTTATACAATGATTCTTTGCGATAACTCATATCTTAATATTATGCATGATCTTGTTAGTCTCTATAAAGACGTTATTTGCCTAAATGCAAAACTGTTGTTAAGAGGACATTGGCCTAATATGATGGTTTGATTATTTTTTTAAAATGATGACCAAACAGTTTACAGCTACTCTGTAGTTCCTGGTTAAATATTGTCCTTTTATAAAAGTGCAGACATTGTTTTACTAAATGTGCAGTTCCAAAAAACGAATATCAATGAAAATTTCATACCCAATGCAGACGACATGTAGATCTGATTTGTTAGTCAAGTTTGCTTTTGATTTGTATTATAATAGAGCAATAAATGGGCAGACTATGATGCCCCACATTATCTATTACACACTTTTTTTTACATTCCGGCAATTAGTATCAACTTTTGACACAAAATGACTACGCCCGCAATATTACAAAAAAAAAGGACAAGCGCTTTTTATTTTACTGTGATTCATCTGAAAGTGACATTTTTACCTATTCTGACATTGTTGTCAATATGATAGAATTCTATGCGATTGTCATACAAATGAGAGGTTTAACTAGCTATAAAACCAGGTTTATTCCGATATTTTCTACATCAGGAACTGCGTGTACTAAGTCAGGAATATGAAAGTTGTTTTCCATTTGTTAGATGAGTTTGAGCTTTTGATTTTGCCATTTATAAAGGACTCTCCGTTTTGAATATCCCTTGGAGTTTGATATTTTTGTTATTTTACTTTTCTCTGTTCTAAAAAAAATGCGCGAAAAATCTACGATGGAAACGATAGGCACATTGAAACCTTTAACATGGAAAAACAATCTCCCTTAATGAAAGTTAGAAGCGGACCCTTGCTTTGCTTTCATCTAAACAATGTTTTGTCACCACGCTACATCTGTGCACCGAAGAATCCAGCTAGCTGCAAAATTAATATATGGAATCCATATATAATTCCACTTACTTGCTTGATTTACCAAGTATTTTGCAAGAACAAGATTTGAATGCTAGTTTCAATAGATTTTAGAGGGGAATTCGAACAATTTGTCATGTATGCAGAATTGGCTGTCAGCATCAACATTAAATGTCGATCTTTTGTCAGGGAAACTGCAATCATCACTGCCTTTAAAATTGTAATCTGTATTGTTTCTCGTTATAGATAGGAAGCAACAATTGTTGTGCGGAAAGCAAACTTACATCGTTCGTGCTAACTTTTAAATACGAATTTGCTAAAAGTATCAGATATGATCAAAATGGAATATTTAAGAGATTTTCAATGAAGCTATGTGCAATCAATACCACCGTGTGTGCAAGGGATCAGCCTACTATTCTTGTTTATTATGGCTACTCGAAAATAGATATTTAAAAACTTACCCTAATCTCCTTAATTATATTCACACAATTCAACAATCAGCTATAATGACTGTTTAATTATACTATACTCAAGATTTAATTTGCTTGATTTACGTCATGGTATTTTTAACTTTTAGCTTTACAATTTAAAACAATAGTTTTATTATGTTTTGTTATGCCAATACAATAGTTTGTTTAACAATGATTAAATCGGACTGTCTACTACCCTTAACACTGACATAGATTTAAAAATAGAAACAAAAAGGTAGTATAAGACAAAATTTGTTCTCAATAACCCTCAATATGTGGAAATACAAATATATAATTTGCTTCTTTATACAATGATTCTTTCTCGGCGATACTTCGTATCTTAATATTGTGACCTTATTTGTCTTTATAAAGACGTTGTTTCCCTATATGCAAAACTGTAAAGAGAAAATTGGCCTAATATAATGATTTCATTATTTATATAAATTAATAACCAAACAGTTTTAGCTACTCTGTATATCTTGAATAGTATATTGTTCCTTTATGAAATTGCAGCAATTGTTTTATTAAATAAGCAGTTCCAAGAAACGGCAGTCAATGAAGATTTCATATCCAATGCAGATATGTAGATTTGATTTGTTAGTCAAGTTTGCCTTTGATTTGTATTGTAAAAGGTCAATAAATGGACAGACTATGATTCCCCACGTTATCTTTTACTCACAAAAAAAAAAAAAAAAGATCAACATTTCGACAATTTGAATCACATATTAACTATTTAACATAAAATGACTACGCCTGCATTCCAAACTAAAAGACAAATTGAAAGAGTTGGTATTGTTTTGTTTCATAAAAAAGAATGACCAACGTGGATACAAGTATCTTGTCTTAGGGAGGGATAAATCCTAAACTGTAAAAAATCACTCTGAATCAAACAAAATATTCTCTGAAACTGACATTATCAAGATGCTTGATTTCTTGATTGACAACATATTTGTTACGTTTTGAGGACGTGTTTTTCAACAAACTATCGGCTTTCCCAAGGGAACCAACTGTGCCCATCTTCTTGCCGACTTGTTCCTTTATTCTTATGAGGCTGAATTCATATAGGAACTTCTTAGGAAGAAAGAAAAGAAGTTAGCAGTATCCTTTAACTTTACTTTCCTCTACATGATGTTCTCTCACTAAATAGTTCAAATTTGGTGACTATGTTGAACGCATCTATCCCAACGAACTTGAGATAAAGGATACAACAGATACAGTGTCTTTTTCTTTTTTAACCATGGCGTTGTCAGTTTATTTTCGATTTATGACAAAGGACTAGCGCTTTTTGTTTATCTGTTCTTCATCTGAAAGTCACTGTTCAAACATTATGAGCGAACAATTGACGATCAAAACGATAGTCACATTGAAACCTTTACATGGAGAAACAATTCTCCCTCAATGAAAGTAAGAAACGAACCCTTTCTCCGTTTTATCTAATTTTTGTCAACATACCACATCTAGATCTGTGCACCAAAGAACCCAGCTACAAGATAAAACTAGCACAAAAATACCCGTCGCTACAAAGTATCGGAGAATATCTAGTTCGTCCGTTAGTCTTTTTTGTTTTTGTTTTTTGTCGTGTAGTAAATGATAATGATGAATGGCTGTTTAGCGTCTAACGGAAAATTAAATGCATGATGAGGACGAAAATATGTTCATGTAATGAGAACATAAAATGCGGTACAATAAACTAAATAGCCATTATTAACACGTCATTAACGACAACATAAACAATATGAACAATTAAAGGTCTTTCCACCAAAGAAAAAACCCATTAATGTCATTCCCAATTATTAACATGAGTTTGATTAGCAATATCAGCTCAGTTTCTTTCTCACATGCGACTGCTAGATCTAAAGACTACTATCCGCGGAGGCGATGGCGGCGATGGCGAAAATTATTTGTATAAAGCTAAATGTCAAAGGGTAGAATTCTTGTTTAATTCCTTATATACAATTGAATTTTTGTTTATTTGAATATCAAGTGTTCTTGATGGAGGATTTCTAGATTTACAGACCTCTAGCAAACAATAGACCCGTTTTTACCCATCGTTTCCAATTTTTTGCATCCGTGTTTTAGTTTAAATGTCACATTACAGCTGCCAATATGATGACCACTAACTTGATCAAGGAATTATAAGACGTCACATTAATTGAAACGTAGTGTCAAAAAGTGATCGCAAAGAGGTCACTGATCTAGTATTTTGAATTGTCAGACTGTCCGAAGACAGATGTTTTTGCTTTTTAGAACGCGCTGTGACGTCACAATTTCTATTGAAAAAGCAAGCATAGTACGAATTCATATGACGTATGAAAATATATGATCTAACCATATATTTGTGTCGAAAGGGAGACAACTTGTATTGTATTTTTTCAATTGCTTTAAAGCATTGACGAAACTAACACAAATTTTGCTAGCAAGTGCACTTCCGATTAGGAAAAAACATATTAGACTACAAGTATAATGAAGTTCGGTCACGAATCCAAGTAACCTAGTTATCTCTAAACGTATCTCGAGATCCATATAGCGTCATCAAGACAAATACCGTTTCTTCATGTTCGTATCAAATCTATTCAACTATATATGAAGACATTCATTTAGCTGGAAGTCCATCATGGATGCATACTAGGCAGCCATGTCAAGTCAGGATGGGACCACTATATCCGAGGTCTTTTGTAGAGATATGGCTGTATACTCAGGAAGTCAAAGAATTCATTGCAACAAATAGTTGAGGGGTCCGTATAATTGACATAATTTGTGCCTCATCAAACACATCCTCTTTTACCGTTGGCAGTTCAAGTATCCCGTTTTCAATGCAGACGACTCATTTCGCAGAACCAAAATGTGACGAATTTGTTCTAGACTGGATATTATTGATGTGCTTTCCAGTAGAGGTAAAGGCAATCAATCAATCTGAAAGAGTGCAGACCAGCTTATCCCGGACACCCAATGAAACTGACTAGTGCATTACCTCTTCTTAATCTCGATGAAAATCTTTCTTACTGTCAACATCAAATCAATGTCATGTATAATTATTGAGAAATTGTCCCTGAAAAAATTAAAATTATGTTCATGTATTGAAAGGAAAGGTCATTTCTGAAGCCGTGTGAGGACCGTTTTGTTTTATTTCATTGGGTGTATAAAGCTTTATATTTATTCCTATCTCGTGTTATTCACCAATTCTATGAAGGCACACATCAACCATCGTTTGTGTAGTGGAGGGGCATGATTTATTTTCAAACAATTTTTTTCAAACTGTACTTTTTCTCTCTCT